TTTTCTACCCGAGTACAAGTACCATCAGTTGAGTTCAAGTACTTTTCTACCCGAGTACAAGTACCATCGGTTGAATTCAAGTACTTTTCTACCCGAGTACAAGTACATGTACCATCAGTTGAATTCAAGTACTTTGCTACCCGAGTACAAGTACCATCAGTTGAATTCAAGTACTTTGCTACCTGAGTACAAGTACCATCAGTTGAGTTCAAGTACTTTTTTATTCAAGTAAGAGTTCAAGTACATTAAATGGTACTCGATTAGTGCTTGAGTACAAGTACCAAGAACGAGTACTGAAAAGATGAGCATAAACATGAAGCCAATTTAAAGGAAATGTCTTAGTAAAATTGGCTGCAAAACCCTTGCAAATGTTGGACATAAATTTATGTTGTTTTCATGCTGAGGATATACCAACCTTCTTATCTTGGCGTAAAATTGAGCTGTTATCTCGTGTTTCCTCACCAGGGTCACATGGAAGCAGTTGGCCCCCTGAGCGAACTCCATGAGAAAGGCATCGACTTTGCCTCCCTGATGCAACAAGATGATGAGGAGGAGGAAGAAATTGAAGAAGATGAAGATGTTGACGGAGACGAGGAGCATCCTGGTTTGAGGAAACGGCGGAGTACAATACTGAGCATCAGGTCTCAGAAGGTGAACATTGAAAGGGGGTAAAAAGTTGAGTTGGAGAGAGGAAGTTGAAAGGGTTGTTGGTCTTGTGAACTGTGTTACAATTGAGGTTTGTGTTTTCTGTAAACTGTAGGTAAATATTGTCACAAAACACTCTGAAAGTTTAAATCCTTGTCATAAATTTGAAGTGGGGTCTCGACACGGAAGACAAATTAGGCACTGCTTTGCCAGCCTAACCAACTCCTAACAAAAATGCAGTGGAGATGAGAACTTCTGTCAAATTGGTTTTGCGAAAAAGCTTTTGTCATGGGTGTGAATTTCCGAGATTGAGGAGCTGTCCATATCAGAATTGGTCTGATATTGTACTTTTGTCTTGTCAGAGTGTCAAAGATGAGAAATCATCCGCCACAACAGCCAAAGCCTTCAAAGAGGAGCAAAGCAAGAAAGGAGACATCACTCTCAGTGTTTACTACAAATTTTTTAAATCCGGCGCCAACTTCCTCATGATGACACTTCTGCTTGTCGTCTTCTTGGGAACCCAGGTAAGCCGTAAAATGTTGACCTCAAGTAGACACTAGAAATAGAAGGAGATTGTTCTCAATTTACCATCAGCAATCAAGAGAGAGATGCAGAATGCAAGTTGTCACTGCTTCAGGTCCACAGCGGCATGTTGTTTTGACCATCATTCCAAAAAAGTTCCGGTTTCATCGTTATGAATGTAGGGGCTTCTAGTTACTGGTCATCTCTCCACAGACACCATCCTTTTGGATTACTGTTTTCATCCCATAATTCCTCTTTTGTGTCCCGTCGTCTTTGTTTCTGTCTTCAGCCTTCTTAAAATTGATCCAACTGTTCCTTTTCAGACTGTCTACATCCTGGCAGATCTGTGGTTGGCTTTCTGGACAGAGGAAGAAGAGAAAAAACAGGCCATGAATCTGACCACGATGGATCCATCCAATGTGGTAAGTCATTGTATCTCCAACCCAAGAAGTGATTAATCCTAACCCCCTGCACTGATTTGCTGCCGCCTTGCTGAACCCGGCAACATCTAACGGCTTTAATGTGCGAAGCATGTTGAACCCACATACGAGAGCAAGAATTCTTTGTTGGATCCTGTTGGGTTCATCATGGTTAAGGTTAATCCCTAACCCTCCCGGATCTTTTGAAATCTACCAGGGAGGCTTTTGTAAGATGGAGTGAGAACACTGCTTAGTTATGAGTGGGTTGGGATGAGGCTTAGGACATGGATGCATGATTGAATTCTTACTGAAAGGTGAAAGTTGGCTTGGTTGATTTGCAGAAATTGGGACTGTTGGCTCATTGGTTTCCATAATATTTGTTGTCCATAGCAAGATGACGATAACCCAGGTGGTAGCGACAGCCTGCTGAATTTCAACTTAGATTTAACCACGGCCCAGAGCGCTTACGTCTACGCTTGCTTCATTGGACTTCTCTTCCTCCTGGCTATCTTCCGATCAGTGCTCTGCTTCAGCATCATGATTAAGTCCTCCCGGAATCTACACAACAGAATGTTTAACGCCATCATCCGCTCCCCGATATCGTTCTTTGACACCAATCCTGCAGGTGTGTATTCATATGGCTGGATCAAATCCAGCGCAGTTACCCAGGCAACGATAGACATACTCCAAATTTAAACTTGGTCTGCTTCAAATTCACGCATCAGTGTCCTGATTTTAGTCTCCAAAGTTGAGAACCTCATGCTCAATACAGTTCCTTTTTCTAATGAGGAGTCATTCAGTTTCCTGATATGAGGCCAAATTTTGGAGTTACTTCATTTAGCGCTGACGGTTAACCTTACCCAACCTATCATGTCATTTTAGAGATGAAGCTTAAAGTGAAGATTTATCCAAGAAAAAATAAAAGCCAGTGTAGGCTGCCAAAATTTGAAAATATTGCCACAATATGCACTGTTAACTTGATATACCTTGGTAGGTTTATGCTCTTTTCAAATACCAGCTCAGAATAAGTCACACCCAGTGTGCCTATCACATGATGTTTAAGTTGATTACTGTAGATAGCTATTCAGTTTTTGCTGAGTTTTTGGCAGCCTACACTGGCTTTTCAAAAATACGTCTTGAAAATAGTTCGCGGTACCTGCTGCTTCACCTGACTCAGACCGGCCAGCCGACCCCGGCAAGCTCGGTGGTCGAGTGGTTAAGACGTCTGCACTAGTAAGCAGGAGGTCGTGGGTTCGAGTCCCACCCGAGTAAACGTGTGACTTTTTTCGCAAGCTCTCGGACAAGCACTGAGCATACAGTGTTTATTAATATATACATTGGGTAAGGGCAAAACCTGTTATACAAAATTTTGCTGAGAGTTGTACACTTTGAGAGTTGAATGCTTTATCACAGTTGGCTGTAGAAAGTGTCATATCAAGACTGAATCAACTCCCAACACTGCTACCTGTTCACTTGTTCACTGTTTGTTTCACCAGGACGTATCTTGAATCGTTTCACCAAGGACATTGGCTTAATGGATGACCAACTTCCCCTGACGTTCTTTGATTTCCTCCAGGTAAGGTAAACCAACTGGAAGATTGCCAGGACACCAGGAGAGATGAATAGTTGTTAAGACAAAATAAACATAGACGTTGAAGAACACCGATTGAGATACCTATTCTGTCTGTTGAAAGGAAAATGTTGCTTGATCTGAAACAGATCTCCAGGACAAACGTTCTTGAGAAACAGTGTCTGACGAATCAACAAGTCCATGATGATTGAATTTGGAGTGAAGAATTGTTTCTATTTCCCCTCCAGCTATCACTGCTGATCCTAGGCGTAATCATCGTGACCTGTATTGCCAACTACTACGTCTTAATCCTGCTGGTGCCTCTTGCTATCGTCTTTGTAATCTTGAGGAGGTATGCCCTTGCAGCTTCGAGGGCCATCAAACGCCTTGATGGTGTCAGTAAGTATCCCTGACAGATATCTTAGGAAAATGAGGAGCAGCGTTTTGGTCACATTATCATTTGTCTTTTGTCTCCTGTGATGATGAGAATAACTTAATTTGTGTAATCATATTTCTGATCAACTGGAAGCTGTTATTTGAAAGGAATGCGGAGACCTTGGAAGTAACAAGGAAAAAGCCTTGACAGAATTATGGAAAAGTCCAGGAAAAGTAATGGAAAAGATTGGGGATAAGATGAAGAAAAAAGCTAATGGCTTTAGCTGTGCTTGTTGAAATGTTATGCAGCATTCCAGCTCATGTCACCACTGGTGCTGATAGGTGAATATTTACAAACTTTGGCTTTAATCCAGAGCAGTTGGCAAGAAAAAAGTATATATAGCTCTGCAAAAAAATCAAGTGGCTGTCATGAAGGTGCAAGTAGCTGGAACTTTGGCTACTGTTTACAATTTTTTTAACTGCAACCCTGATTTTACATACTCGTTAGTCAATACTTTAAGAAACCTTTGAGGTTTTTCAACTTTCTCAAACTGAACGTTTTACTTTTCTCCTTGCAGCTCGCAGTCCGGTCTTCTCACACACCACGACGTCTTTCCAGGGTCTCAGCACGATTCGAGCCTACAACAAGCAAGTGCAGTTTGTCCAAGACTTCAATCGTTACCAGGACCAACACTCGGAGGCCTGGTTTGCCTACCTGGCAGCCAACCGCTGGTTTGGCCTGAGGCTGGACATCATAGTGGTCATCTTCACGGCTGGAATCTGCTTTGTGTCTGTCCCACTCAAAGAGAGTAAGTTAAGACTTTAGTTACTTCTAGAGCTGATCTGTAGCTCTTTCCAAACATATCTGGTTATCGAGCAAAGTTGATGTGAATCGCGTTTTGAAGACCACAAGCTAATGTTGCTGTGGCACACTGCTAAGATTTGTAATGTTTAAGTTTAAGACTCAAAACTAAGAAATTGTACTATTTGAACTCATTTGTTTGCTCTCATTTCTCTGTTCTCAGCTATTGATGCAGGACTAATCGCTGTTATCCTCAGTAACACCCTCTCCCTAACCTCTGTCTTCCAATTTGTCGTTAGGCAGAGTGCTCTGGTAGAGAACCAGGTTTGTAAACGTTCTTTTGCATTTTTGCTGTACACATTTTAAACAGTTTTTTGTGTCAGCTTGGAAGATATGCTAAGATGATGACCTCATTCCAAACCTGTGTGAATTTGATCACTTTTTTGTGCTTCATACATGGATCTGTGCTACAGTGAACAAGGACGTCAACTTTGGCTTGATTTGAAAAGCCCAAACTTTCTGTTCTTTAAAAGTCTCAGACTTGTCAACCCCTGAAATTTTCCATTCTGACTTGTCTAGATGACATCTGTTGAGCGGACAATCGAGTACACGAAGCTAGAGCCAGAAGCTCCACTAACAAACAGGAAGACCGAACCACCACCAACATGGCCGCAGTTTGGTGCCTTCACCTTCAACAGTCTATCACTTAACTACTCAACAGAGGGCCCTAGAGTCCTGAAGAACATCACCTGCAATATTATGGCTAAAGAAAAGGTATGTTGTATTGTTTCCACACTAGCATCAGCCATCTTGGTATGGTTCCCTGCGGTCAAAGTTGAGATCACAGTGTAGTCAGCCATCTTGTTAGAGTTACCAACCAATATGGTATTTTTCAGCGTGTGACTGTTTCAGTTAAACCCTTGCTGTTATTGAAACGTTGCATATTATCTAGATAACATCAAATATTTGGAATTTCAAGTTGAATTGTAAAATTTCCAAACAACTAAATCATTTATTTCCAATTACTGTAAACTCCATTGGAAAATCGAATGGATGAAGACTTTGAAATCCAAGCAGGAAAGCAGTTAGAATTGAGACTCCTAATTTCCAGTACCACAATATATATATATTTTTTCACTCTCAGGTTGGAATTGTTGGTCGGACTGGCGCAGGCAAGAGCTCCCTGATCACAGCTCTCTTCCGATTGGCCGAACCCAGTGGTGTCATCATGCTGGATGGCATCACAACCTCCGACCTGGGTCTGCATGACCTCAGGAAAAAACTGTCAATCATTCCACAGGTGGGTGGAGCTTCAATAATGATCAACCAATCGAATTCACTGTAATGTAACAATAACTGTTGTGGGTGGAACAGAGATTGCAATGCACCAATCAATGTGAGTGTTCATCTAACACAGTGCTTTATGTTTTACCATGTAATGCCTTATTGGTTGAAAAAAAGTAGTAATTGTCCAATGAAAGGCATCATCCAGCTGTCATGCTGAACTCAACCCCAAAACCCTCTGCTGTATGATCTTAATATATAGATTGAGTTCCTATGGCACCAAACTCATGAATCCATTTTACACACCTTTAAACATTGCTATAATTTTTACTTTCTGTGGATGAAGACAAACACAAAACTTGTAATAATTCTAAAAACTTAAAACCTTAGCCACTAATGTGACTTCTTCAATCTTTTTTGGTTAGGACCCTGTTTTGTTCACTGGTAGTCTGCGTTACAATCTGGATCCCTTCAACCAGTATCCAGACATAGACCTCTGGAATGCTCTGGAAGATGTAAGTTACATTTACATTGTATCTTTGTCCACGATAACTTAAATTCTTTCAGCCCTGAACTCTCAAGTTTTCTCGCCCTGAGCGTTTTGTGAGACTTGCAGTTCAGTCTGTGAAAATACTGTAGGTTAACCCAAATGATTGACCCGTTCAAGGGCCTCCTTTGGGGCCTTAAACAAAACTGTGAGAGTGTGTACGTCTTAAACTTGTGCAGACACAATCTTGCCTTATGGGTAATGTTGAAAAAGCTTTAGATTTTTTCAGACTTTGTTTCAAGCAGCATAAATCTAAAGAATTAGTTCAAATTTCACTGGAAGTTCGTTGTAAAACGTGAGTTCCATTACCTCCTTCTAATGACCACCTTCCCGTTTGCCATGATCCTTCTTCTCTGCTGTACCCTTTAAACCTAAGCCTTCTGGGTTGAAGTGGTCACATAAACTCTCACCACCGAGTTTGAAACACTTATGCAACTCCCATTTTCTGCCTGACTTGTTTACAGGTTCAATTGCGCTCAGCTGTGCAGGACTCAGTGGAGAAACTCAACATGGAGGTGGGTGAGTCAGGCTCCAACTTCAGCGTGGGTCAGCGTCAGCTGATCTGTCTGGCACGGGCAATACTCCGACAGAATAGGGTGCTGATCATGGATGAGGCTACGGCAAATGTGGACCCCAGGTAAGGAGAGATAAGAATTAGTTGACAAGAGTTGGAAAATATCTCTCAAAAGTTACTTTATCTGTACAAAAAAACGGAGTGTTCAAAAATTTACTTCAAAAAGCTCACTTGACAAGCTTTTTTCCCAGATCAGTTTAAGTCTTAAATTTCCTGGAAGTGGGACCTGAAACTTTCTTGCAAATAACCTCATGGTTGCTGATGACATGGATTTGAAAGGAAACTTCGTAACTGGGAAAAGATAAGTCATGAGCTTTTCAACACTTGTAAATACTTGAGTTTGTTTTCATTTCCTCAGGACTGATGCCCTAATTCAGAAGACAATAAGAACTAAATTCCAGAACTGCACCGTGCTGACCATAGCACACAGGCTGCACACAATCATAGACAGTGACCGCATGATGGTAAGATACAGTATCACAAACAGTCACAGACCATCACAGACATGTCAAAAGTCACGACAAACCAAGCTCCTGAGCTGCAACAAACTGACTACAGCCCACTGGCTACTCACTTGATAACGTCACAACAAAAACAGCCCCCACAGAGCCCTACATTGTCTTTGCCGGTCAGATCTTCGTAACCAACAAGCCAAGCTTGATTTATGTATTTTAGGTCTTGGATGCTGGTGAGCTGATTGAGTTTGACCAGCCGTACGCCTTACTCCAGCGATCAGACAGCATGCTGAGCAAACTGGTGGAGCAAATGGGCAAGGCGGAGTCTGCTTCTCTGATGGAGGTGGCGTGTCAACACTTCAAGCAACGGAGAGTGACAGGGGTGAATAACGTTTCCTTTGCCAGCCCAGAGGAACTCACAGTTGAGGGGTGAGTTAGAACAGACCTTGGCTACCAACCTCTTTCAGTCTTTTTTAAAAGAACCTATTAAAATAATGATTTGCTCATCTTTATAATGTGCCATTTAGACCGACCTGGCCTGGCGAAATAGCAACCGATGATATAAGCAGTTTTCCTCATGAATATGTATGAAATCTTACTCCCTTTGGTTTGTAAATTGTCTAAATTGTCTATACATTTTTTCAGTTATCAGCAACAGCTTCAGAGGTGGGGAATGTCCAACCTAACGACTGCCGCCAGGACACAATCTGTAGGCATACAGGTGAGAGTTATTGAAATTGTCTAAATGGAGAAATGTCAGGGGTTTGAGAAGATAGGGAGCTTATCCGCTTTGTGCGGGAACAACAGGGGGCGTGCTTTGACATAGAGTGATGATTCTTGGGTGGTAACTCCCCACTTGTGCGCAGAAGCACCCCCTCATCGGTTAAAAAGAGCCATGGGGTGGGGAGTGTTTGTTATGTAGCGTAATGCATGCCTCTTGTGGTCATTTGTGAACCAGTGAAATGTAGCTTTCACCAAAGGAGCCTCCTTTGCTTGGAAATTGCGCCCTCTCTTGGTCCCACTTGGGGCTCATTGTCTCCCATTTCAACTTGAAAGATTGAGCAGCGTATGTAAGCATGCTAGCATAGTTGTGACTGCACTTCCTGACCAGCAAATATTTCTTTTCCCATCCCGGTGAAGACGGAGCCTTTTGCATACCACACAGTCCTCCTGCCGAGAACATCGGACGGCTTTGGTTTCTCATTGGCCGGCAGCACAGATAACCCCTACATGCCTGTGTTTGTTGTCCAGGTTATAGAGGACTCCCCAGCTAGCTTCCCTAACGCCCTCCAGGTCAGTCATCAGTGGATTAACTGTGCACGTCAATCTAGGATTGGGCACAAATTTTGGGTAGCTGGGTGCATATTTACATGATTAAGATTGGCGTTGAGAATTAGAAATCAAGGAATTCTTGGAAGTTGAAGGCTTACTCTTTCAACCACAGTATTTTTTGTTCAGCAGTGCTGCACCCGAAAGTGCTAGAAATGATCTCCAAACTTTTGTTAGTATACATTGTCAGGGTATTAGCTACAATAGGATGTGGGTTTATCTAATTTGTATCCTGATGTGACATTTTCCATCACAGGTTGGGGATGAGATCATGGCCATTAATGGTCATGACCGTGACATGCTGACCTATGCCGACATTTGCCAAATGGTCAAGGAGAGTAAGGAGCGTGTCCAGCTGCTGGTCAAGCGACGCAGCAATGCCAAGGTGACCACGACGTCTTTCACCAAAGAGACGCCAAAGGAGAAGGAAATGAGTCTAAAGGACAAGCAGGGAAGGAAGGTGAGCGATGAAGATTTCTGTGTGGGTGTAGGAGAAGATGAAAACTAAACAGACTGTTGGTAGAGTACAGCAAGTTTGACAGAATTACAAACATTACAAGCCAAATCCAGCATTCAGAATGAGAAGCCATTTACTCTGGTGGCGCCATGCCGGTGGGCAGGTGGTACACACACATTACATGCCTCTTCTACTAATCTGCCCCAAATTGTAGGGCACCCCCAAGCGGCAAAAGAAAGACAGATGGTTGTAAGTTTTCCAAGCGGGTTCTTGCACGCATTCTGCATGTATGCAAAGACCATACATTCAGAAATAAATTCGTTATGCATACTCAGCATGCTCCGCGTCAAACACACCATTGATCTGCATTATAAAGGATGCCTGTGCGGTGAGTACCAAAAAAAATGTCCTCTTTTGTTTCACTCGGAGCGGATAAGGTGTGGCAACTTGCAAAAATGTGCACAAATTCAGGTACAGATTAGTTCATATTGGATATGTAAAGTGTAACCAGTTTTGATGAGGCAATATGTGCTTAGCTTTCTACTGATATTTTTCGCTCACGAACTGTGGGAAACTGCTCTGAATATCTGTATTTCCAATATGGCCCTTGGTAGTACAGTGTACATGTACCTGTAGAGTTGACCATTTTATCTTTGATTCTTATGCACAAATTTTAAATATTGGTGTTGGTGGCTTTTATTTTCTTTCACAGTTAATCACAGAAAAAAGTAACAATTATTCTTTTCTTTTCTGTGGTAGTTATCGCCTTCCTCAAAACGAAAACCAAGCCCAACCCAGGAGAATATGGAACAGGCCATCGATGACTCCGCCTCCAGTGGAACATCCTCCATGGTTTTTACTAATGAAGGATTTGAGGATACTCCACTCTCAGCGATAGGGGAGTCCATCAGTAAGACCAATGAAGGGGCAAGCTCCTCAGATGTTGAAGTTAGGGGATCCATGTCTTCCAGTTCATCAGATGACACAGTCGACACAAAACTGTGAGAACATGAAACATTTCAACTCGTTTGTAAGTGTAATACATGCCAGTAAATTATTCCAGGCATGTTTAATGTTTTAGTGCTTTGGCACTTTAATCAGTCACCGTTGTCTTGCATTGAACCATTAAAAAACCTGGGTTCAGTGTGAGGCCATGTCTGAATTACTTGGCTGCTGCTTGGAATCACACATGAGTCTATGGCAGCGCCTGCAGCCACTGCATAGCATTGCTTGTAATTTCAAGCTGCAGCCAACAAATTCAGACATGGCCCGATAAAGCTGATTGGAAGGTAATGCTGCTGAGAAGACTAATATGCTTAGCAATAAACAGCGGGGCAACCAGTAGCAAAAGAACATGCAATACATGTCGTTTTGATTGGTAACCAATACTTTACTGAAACATTTTCTGTCCTTATCCAATTTCCGTCTTCGGCAACTCATTCACATTGGACCCAGATTGATTGCTTGTCGTTTTCCTGGGTACTAGATCTCTCTACTGATGATGTCTCAGTATGTTTACATGTGTGCGTTTCTGTGGTGCTCATTGGACCGTGAGCCCCTACTGACTCCATAGGAAAGTGCACATGTAAACTAAGTGTGTGACGTCATCAGTAGATAGGCCTATTGATACTTTTTTTTCTGTTCACTGTATTCTCTATCTGTTCAATTATTCTGTTATATGGAACAGTGCTTTTCCCTGTGGTATCACTTATGACCAATGTAACCCTGGATGGATGATGGATGGATGATTTTCCATTTTGGTGCTGTTTACACTCTTGGCACAAAGGAAAATGACTGAGATGTAAATGTCACTTTTCTCTCATGATTACAAAAACAAAACTTGTTTTGGCTCTTGGGGGGTAGAATCCCCCCCCCCTGGCATTCCCTGTCCCAGATCCATCCTTGGTATTACGTTTTTTTAATCACAAAATTTGGTGTTCGTTATTGAAGCTAACCTAGGCAAGCAACCGTTGCAGTCATACATTCTATGTTTTATTGTTAGGCATTGGAGCTTGTTTCCTAATTCAGTTGGCATTGCCTGTGTTTTAATGGTTTCTTCCTGTCACTAAGTTGTGTCATTTCAACTTTGACTGTCGGGTTTTTATGTTGTATTCACATGCACACAACTCATATTGAACAGTTTATATAACTGAGAATCTTAAATTAAGTTCACTACAAAGTATTTTTGTGATCACTTATGCAAGTAATATAATGCATGTTGTAACAAGTTTGCACAGCACAGGTTATTAACCACTGGCATTTTGTGAAGTGCAACAAATATGTTTTAACCAGTTTGGAAGTTAATTTTGTTTCAAAGATGTTATGTTACTCAGAGTATAGAAGTTATCTAAACATGTAATTCTGGTTAAATAATACTTGTGGATGACCCATGTATAATGATGTGGTTCAGTTTGGTTCAGTACTTTGAGGTTCTCATGGAAAACAAATATCATCTGGCAGAAACTTTCAAAAGGCCAACAAATGAACTTAAGAAAATTTCTTTTCAACCATTTTCAAGGGGGTTATTTTGTAAATGGTTTCTGGCATAAAAGTAAAATCTCACCAGCCTTCTTTGCATAGGAATTATGCTTGACCCTTAGACATAGAGTTATTGATTTTGTTTGGTTTGAGACGTTATTCAAAAGGATTTCGAAATCTTGTAATTGTTAGAAAATTTTCTTAAATAGTACCACATTATTTAAATTTAAAGGTGACATATTTTTATTTAGAAAGGGCAACTCTTAAAATTCATTTTCTTTGAATTTCAGTAGATTAGAGTGAATTGTCAGAGATGATACCAATTGTGATTACATGTACTTGTATAAAGGCTACAAATTGCATTGTAAGAATTCTTGTTGAAATAGGGAATGTTCTGAGATGAGTGAGTGCCATGTTGTTAGAGGTACCGATTGAGTCTACTAAATGTGAAATTGGTACGAGCTGGGGCCAGCTGTACAGAGCTTTCTAAGCTCAGAAAAAAGCTCCACAATATATTCGCTTAGCAGAAACAGATTATCAGCAGAAAGCATACTGCCTGTATTTGGTACTCAGCATTATTTTTAGCTGAGCAAGATTTTTTTCTCAGCAACTCTTAGTTCTTTACTTTCTTTGCTCAGCAAACTTGCAGAGCCGGATCTTCCGTGTTGCAATTCCATTACCCTGGGTCCTCTTGGTGCTCCGTAGGGAGAGATCCCAGCATTCCAAGGGTTTCCGGTTCACAAATAACTGACACAAAGTTGAGAGTCATTCTGTTTTAGGTAAAACTGTGCTTTAATGTGCTCAGAATATTTGGCACATGTTGCAATATAACTTCCACCGATACTGTGTGGTTGATTTACGACAGGGTTTTATATACAATCCTTGAAAGATAGGAGTAAATGAGGTTGTTAAATTGTTGTGATATGCAAGAAAGATTGAAATAACTCGGTACCACTAATATCAGTATTACAATTATTGAAGTAGTCTATTTACAGTGATTAGAATTTATTTATTACCATCAGAAGTTTTTTTACCGAAGAAACATTAAAGCCCCATTTTCACAGTTAAAAATAGACTGAGGTAAACTGATTGACTTCAGAGCTACACTCAGATTAGACAATATGTATGGCGTTTTCAAGTGAATAGGGAAATTGTTTGGACTGATTATTTGAGGAGTAAAAGACGAATGCAATTTCTGCATTGGGAAGACATTTATGCGTTCGCCCTTCAATGACTTGATCCGTAAACTTCAAATGTCTAACAAGAACGGGACCACATTTGCCCAGCGAATTCCGAAAAAAGAAATAGTCGCAATCCGCCTTGAGCAGAAGCACTCCCTCATCGGTTGAAAAGAGCCATGATGGTGGGGGTGTTCATTTGGTTGTTATGGAGGCAATCGCAATGCATGCATTTCATAGTTTTTCGTGGACCAACAAAGTTGAGTTCCCTCTGTAGGAGCCTCCATTGCTAGGAAATTTGCACCCTCTCTTGGTCCCGCTTGGGGCGGAAAATTAAAAATGTGCAGTGATCGGATACGCTGCCTGGCTGTGAAATTAAAGTTCACAGAGTTCACCTCCAGTGCTGGGTATACTGTACACTTGACCTGGACATCTGGAAATGTATAAATACTACTTATTCTTTTCTTTCAAAGTTTCAATAATTCTTTCCCTTTTCCTGGGTAATATTTCCCTTCTTAATGCCAAACCGAGATGTATCAGGAATCCCCTCGGTCAAGGAGAAGCCGTCGTGTCCTCCCTGTTTCCCAACACGTCCTCTCGTCTCTCCACCAAGCCATCACAGTCTTCCCCGAGGAATCCAAACTGTCTCAAGGCCGCCTTGAACCCTCCTAAGATGTAACCTTCCTCCTCTAGCTCTCGCAGTTTGCAGCCCGTCGACTCCTTGGGTAGGTGTTTCAGGATAAAGTTGACCTTGGTCGGTCGGTATCTCCGAACCGGTACCACCACGGTCTTGGGTTTATAACCCCGGGCGTGTACGGTGACCGTGTAGACACCTGGGAGAAGCAGCCGCCAGAAATCGCCGTCGGCAGCTGAAAAAACATCGGAATTACAAAAAAAGTAGAAAGGTTTAATTATTTTTCTTTATAAAGACATGTACTGATGGCCTTTGTTTTAACCGCCGTGAATTCAGGGTGTCAGTCCAGAAGCAGTCGTATGTTTTTCCTCGATTTAAGTACATGTAGGCCTACATTAAATTCCTCTGCACACCCTAAGATGTTCCTGTGTTGCTTTATCCTGGAACGATTTTTAGCAGATTTTCCCAGACCTTTTCAATTCTATTTTACTGAACTGCAGTGTTTTACTTTCACACCACGCTCTGTATAACTGAGGATGCATGAACAAATAACCACAGCGCACGTTGGTCGCCGTTGCCCATTTGGATGCAGCAAACCATGCCAACACCTCAGAGCAAGTGTGGTGTGAATCAAAGCCGATGTGAAACGGCACTTTTGTCAAGTCGCCTATGCCAACACAACCCTGCCACTATAGTGTACACTTAGGTCAATCTGGAAAAGTGGAATATCTGCGCAGAGAAGTAACTACGTATGCCATTTTAATTCATGAATTACAATGTAGTTGTTTGCAATATACATTGTACTGGATTCCACCACATCTAACCATCAACCAGTCAAACAGGACATTCGAGTAGTACAATTCGAGTAGTAGAATTTATTGTCATATCTGCTGGCAAATTGTTTTAGGCTGTCTTGATTACGTGGATAGACGTAGTTGCAAAAAAAGTGTGATTATTAAGGGGCACACGGACCTAGTAGAAATGGCACTGAATGCGTTTGACGTGTGTACAGTGCTGTTATGGGTCAGAATCCGTTTGGTTCTTCACCGGTTCTTGAGGAAACCTCGGAACGTTCCTCCCGGCCCACGGTAATTTCTGATCTTCAGTTCCGTCTCGGCAATCGCTCGTGCGATTGGGCGGGGTATTAAGCCCAAAAGTTTTCTTTGGAACGTCGGTGCGCTGCCAAGCAAGTACAGGTCTGTGTTTCGCCTGAAGATCCTCAACAACATGGTGGTGATCCTCGGCGACTATACACTTAAAGTCAAGCAAGGAAGCCTTCCAACATCCTAAATTCAATGACGGACCACGCTCTTCACTCCAGCGTCCAAGATGTTCGGGGTCGGCACTTCTTCGGGCAAATAACCGTGGACTGAACTCCATCACTTCTGACTAGCCGTCCTCTGAAGCATCGGAGTGAGACGGCAAATCAAGGTTTGAAGAGAAGCTTAGTACCAAAGCCGAGGAACTGATTGAATAGATGAGTTTAAAGGGAAGTCCTTTGATCCGAGGGGTGTATTTGGTAACACGGTCTCAAACGTCATATTTTCCGTTGTCTTTGGCAAGCGCATTGAGTACAGGACCCCGTGGATTTGCTTAATTTGCACCTTTAAACTCTTTGGATCGGTGGTGTCTTTAATGTCTTCCCCAGTCTTTACCATCTGCCATTTCTACCGACCACTGAGTTAATCTCCAATTTCCATCGATACTCATCGTGTTGAATTCGACCCTGACCATTTGAAAGACTTCATCGACGTGTACCTTCAACGAACTGTAGCATATTCTTCCTATAAGGATGAGGCTTCGACGAATGGAATAGAGTCTACAAAAGCACCCACAGTCATCTCATCTCATTGGAGCCATACTGGGGACCTTTTCGTAGCAGGCTCCAAGAGTCCAAGACCTCAGCGACCATGCTGCAGTGGCGTCAGTTCTACATGATCGCCTACCTGGACACACAGCAACGAGTCCGGGCTGATTTGGCTTCACTGACGGCAAAATGCACCCCCCCCCCACTGCTAACGCGGTGGCTCCTCTGCCACAATGCGATACTTTCTTTCGTGTTGCCTTTAGCTCTCAAATGTACATGCGAAGCTACCGCAAACCAACGAATTATGTATGAGCATATCTGTTTTGAATTGCCGCCCTCGAAAAAAATTTTAGAAGATTTCAAAAGTGGGAACGTATTGTGAGTGGAGCTTTGTACAAGTGGTAGATAATATTTGATAGTGAACTGGAAAGTAGGTAATATTTTTCCAGTTTGGAATTCTCTAGTGCAGTTCGTCAAACATTTGCCGACATTTAAATCTAAGACTGAATAATTCTGCTGTAAAAATGCGTAAAACATCTTGACAATAATCGTTATTACGATTGTGTGGCTTTGCTTTGTACTATAACATTTTGATGTCTGTGTTTAGACAAAAAAATTAATAGGCCTACTCCTGTGCAGTATATTTTTTCTAATAAATGGCTATACCCCAAATGGCTAAATAAAGATAAGAGGGAAAATTTCAAATTCCAAATCAGTACTTGTACTTTCTCTCTTTAATGCGTTAAGCGATGCTAAAACCTACATTTTGACTCCCCCCGCCGCGTCCAATTTCCGTACGCTAGAACTGAGAGGTAGTCGCAGGGGGTCATCTTGAGACAAGCTCTCCCTCAAGACTGGAAAGATAAACATCAAAGTTTATCTGGGGGTCTTACCCGTGGTGACATCATGAGCGATGCTGGGTCCCGTCACCCTGATGACGGCATTTGCTATGGGATTTCTCTCTATGTCTGTCACTAGGCCTTTGATACCTATATGCACCTGTTTCGAGCAAGCAAACAGAAAGTTACCACTAAGAAAGGGTGATGATGAGGTGATTGTCGTCGATTGATCTTTTGTTGTTGTAATCCCCTCGTGCTGTTATAAAACAGTCTTGAAAACACGCTAAAATAGTAAAGTATATTGCTGTGTACTGTCTGGTGTTAAGGACAAGTTTGAAGACATTATCAAACTTTGTTATGTTGACAAGATACTACAGATAGCAGCATGTAGAACGACTTTACCGTCTTGAAACACTTTGAGAAAAGCACCAATTTCACCCATTTGACTACTTTAACATCTCCTTGTTTTCCTGTCCCCTCGTGATTGATACGATTGTGTACCCCATTTTTGATATCCACATAATTATAATTGGCCAGCATTTCGTATTTTCTCGGCGCAATGTATTAAGAAAGTAACAAAACGATGACACTCGACACACTTTGGCTGTTGCACTCTGCACGTTATTTTACAGGTCTGTGTTTGAAAGTACAATTGTATTAATATCACAAGTTCGGACCAAGCCATAGGGAATAATTCAGAGCATAAGCAAGATTCCATACAATAGCACCACCCCACACCTGCTCATCGTTGTCTAGACAAGCCAACCTTTCAGCCATCATTTAAATATATCCTCACCTTACTTATATACTCAATTAAGGCATCCCTGTTATCCTCCCACTTCCTCTTCAGTTCCTCCTCCCGGGGGAACTTGTCGCATCCCAGCTCCAGGGTGATATCGAAACAGTTGCTCGAGAGATAATTGTAGTCTTGCATTCCTGAGATAAGCAAGCGGAGATGTCATCGCACCAAGTAAGTATCTTGTAAATGATCATTACTTAAATTGTTGCATAAAAGTAAGTTGGTCTGTGGAATAGCTTCATTGCGTTCTTTTTCACACTCCGCGAAGTGCAAGCGTTTACCACGGCAGCCGTCAGGTTAATCAGTTAGGTTTTTCCAAAGTTTCTGATGTCATCATAATTTCTACGATGGAAAACTTGCCTCAATGTGCAACCCATATCTTTTATAAACAGAACTTGTGCATAAAATGATCTCGCTGTTGAGAATGTGGAAATTCTATTACCGCAAAGAAGCATCAACCTCACCTCCGGACACGATGTACCAATCCGCGCCATTCGTCACACCGTCTCTAAACACCTTGGCGCCCTGGAAGCGGCAGGGATGCGTCCTGGTAGCCATGGTCCGATGATGCAGAGAGTAAGTCAGGGCTAACTCACGGAACAGATTATCATCGGGCGTAGCGGAGTACATCTTGCGTGTGTTACGACTCTTGTCGTACGGGAAGTTAGCCACCAGGTCGCCGTCGTGCATGTTGGCCGAGAGGACGAAGGGGTAGTCGGTCATCCAGTCCATGACAGCTTGGGTCTCCGGTTGGCGACTCTGTGTGGTCAGTATCGGGGTGCATCGGAATGAGAAGGGTCACAGCATTTTTGTCATCTGCTAACCTGACAAACTGACAAGGCCGTGTAAAGACTTCATTCTTTACTTTGGGATGCTGCAAACTTTGCTTTCCAAAAAAATCAGTATGGAGGCTTTACGTGGTAGCCATGTTGGAGAGCAATTCTTTTTTTTTTACAGGGAACTTCCTTCGAGCATACCTATGGAACAAATGTACTGGTCTGCAAGATGGCAGCCATGTAAACCCTCTATAGGGAGGCAGAATCAACCAGTCATGCCGACCATAGTTTTGCCATTGCTAAAGAAATATAAATTCCCGGCATATGTCTGAACATTCACAAAAACGAGAGAACTTTTAAATTAAAACCCAAGTTATGTTGGACATGAAAATTACCAGGAGGCTCTGCTTTCCAACCTTTCCACTTTGCAACGCACTTGTCTGCAAATTTGAAACGTAACTTCCTTCAAACGATTTAAATCAGCCCCTTATACCACGGAGTTATGCCCTTCTAACTCTCATATGTTGTTCAGAGTTGGCTTCACTATAAATCAGGGTGGTCTCTGTGCCCCTGAAAATGTCACCTCCTTCGTGGTCAGTGTTAACCAAACCCGACCGATTTTTCAAATTTCTTTCAATTAACCAAGGACTACATGAGAAGTCACACAGCCCCTTAAGTTCAGGCGGGGGACATGCCACCCTCCCCCCCCGAAAAAATATGAACTCGCTTGTCTCCAAATATTTGGCCTTCAACCTCACTGACAATGTGAACGCTGAACAAATTTGACAAGTCTGCATTTGATAAATATCCATTACAAAGTTTTCCTGACCGTTTTTTTGAGTCAGGTCCTTCCCCAAGCTTGTTGGCGATATAAAACCCACTAGGGCCTATCTGGGGAACGCGCGAGAAGTGCCTGATAAATCACTGCATGACAACACGCGAGTCCTTTTACAACAACGACAAGTATGTGTCGAAGGTCAAGGGTCGCAACCCCGTCCCTGTCTGACCCTGGGGATGAAAAATACAAGTCGAGGGAAATTGTGTTCGCAGGCTACAACCCCAGCCTAGAACAAGAACCCTATTAATTCAACACTGTCAAAATAGGCCTGAAAACTGCTGGAACATTTTCAGGTACATTCAATGGCAGCGTTGGGTATGTCAATCATAATATCCCTCCGCTCGTGCAGCTCTAAGCGAAAACAACCTTTGGAATGTTCTTGTATTCCACGTTGCCGTTTTGTGGGGGTGTGTGGGGGGGTGTGTTTGTTTGTTTGTTGGGGTGTTGGGGTGGGTCCCCATTTTGCATACAAGGTACGAAGGGGTTGTTTGTTGGTTGGTTGGTTTGTTGGGTTGTTGGGGGTGTTTGTTTGTTTGTTTGTTGGGGTGTTGGGGTGTTTGTTTGTTTGTTTGTTTGTTTGTTTGTTTGTTTGTTTGTTTGTTTGTTTGTTTGTTTGTTTGTTTTAATCGATCAAAAATATTCTGTACATACTCCAATGCCCTAGTAAGGTGTGTTCAGTGAGCAGAAGTATGTCGTATTCTGATACTTCTTTCAATCTTGAAACGGGAGCAAATTTCAACAGCCCATCCGAGAGCAAAACCCCTCTACGCCTTGACTTAGAAACGACTGAATTACTTTCATGTCCTCGAGATCGAGAACTTGGCGAGCTTACATCCGCATTCGTCTTTTATCTCCTTTCTCCCCGTTCCGGAAAGAACATTCAACACGCCCTGCAGATTCTGCAAAGTACTTTTAATATTGTTCAAACTGAATGAAAATGACCTTCAATCCATATATTTTCAGGTTTATCAAGTACCCTGGCCTTTTCAGGAACATCCGCTAGCCTCTCAGCGAACTTCACCGATGGGGTCACATGGGAAGGGACATTTTGACGTAATTATAGGTCACTCGGGAACAGACATTTGCCGTTTGACGTCAAACGGAATCGAAGGATTCAGGAGATATTGAAAGAAAAAATACCGCTCAATCGTTGACATTTCCATCAGTGCAATTGACGAATTTATGAGATACTTGTATTGAAAGAAGAAAACCTGATGCCAATTCCATAAACAATGGTTAAGTGTAAATCTCTCAATTTACGAACCCGAGCGTCTTGTAGTGCCAGGGTATAATTAAGAGATAGAGGGATCATAATCCTCAGGTGAGGCTCGAACTCACAACCTCTGCATTTCAGTGACTAGTTTCGGTGTGTAGTGTAACACCTGTTGTCCATTAACGCCATTGGGAAAAGACATTTCCTGTCACATTCAAACAGGAATCGAACTAAATAATCATTAATGTTTTAGTAGAAACTAAAAAGGGGGAAAATCATGATGAGGAGACGGATGGCGAAGATCTTGAACGGCAATGGCTGGTATTTTATGAGTTCCTTTTTAGGACCATTTGTTTTGGCCTTCACATCTTTATTGAATTTCTTCCTTAAAAGTGCAAATTTGTGCACTGCATAGAGTTCGTCCTTTCACCCCTTCCCCATCAATATTGTCAAATACTTGACGTTGGTTCAAATTTTCTGACGTCACAAGATGTTGCGGCTAAATTTGCCAGAGTTGAATTCTGTTCATTACGCTGAGCATTTTTGCCATTGCTTTTCTTATCAGTTTACCTTTGTCAAAGCAAGTACAAGTACCTTCCCAGTGACAGGTCTCAAACTTACACTTAAAGTGCTCAGAAATTGCCTAAGATTGCACGAAAGAGCACTTAGAATCCCCAGTTTCTCCAGGCCCTTGAGTGGGACCGGGACGCCACGCCGTAAGGGCTTGACGCGTGGCTTTTACATTATTTCTGATCAGAGTTATGCTACCTCCCCCCACGCGCGTTTGGAAAGAGTCGACAGAATACGCGCGTTGTGATTGGCCGACGCGTTGCAAACTCTTGGAGGCGCACTATTGTGAACCGCCCGTTACAATGGGTGCGTTCGATTAGCTTACACGTGTAAGTCAAACCTACACGAGAGCGTTCGTTTAGCTATCACGTGATGTTCGTGCCTGCCCTGGTGTCAGCCACCACTACCCCAGATGGCGAGCGGGTCTCTTGAGGCTGCCCGAGTGTAATGACGTCACGGATGGACTGTTCGAGCATGGACGTACATGATAGAACGAGGCGGGGACTTGACCTTTTTTCCAGAATGCCTTGGAAAACACACTGCAGCGTTCGATAAGCCTCATTTTGAGGCTTTCCTTGAGTGTAACACTGGTGTGTTCAGGGAAGCTAATCGAACGCACCCTATAAAGATCACTACACAGACCTTTTCACGCACGTGACTAAATGTGAACAATGCCACCACGTGCGGACTGCCTTGGCCACGGTGATCATATATATTCCTACGGGCAGCTTCAAACACGTGCAAGCGCACGTGCGAACGCTGCACGCTTGACTTTATCTTGAATAAGTAGATTACCATCACAACACTATGCATTCATTTCCATCATAACACATCAGAGATCCAGCACGATCGTGACATCACTGGAAAAAGGTCTATAACCAAACTAACCTCTTTGTTTTCCCGCACCGTCCGCAGGAGATGGTTGTTAGCCCCTCCTGTCTGCTCGTGCTGATACATGATGTCATTCAAATCCGGGAAATCTCGGTTGAGATCTACATCGTTGGCGTTCCCTCGGCCGTACATGGACGGCACACGACCCTAAGAGAATGAGAAAGATTCTTATTTTCCTTAATTGAGTGCTACCAGAACGCTCATTAGCTTGGCTCCGGTTTGAATCAATACAGAATAGAGAATGCCGTCCAGGAAATCACTAAGAAAGTGCTGGGTGGTACAGGTAGGTTCAGAGAGCTGATCTACGATTTTTGTTTCACAGAAATTGCAACTTCTTTGCGACTATCTTCTTTGTATTGAATCATTCGATTGGGTTTTGTGAATTCCAGGCATAATTCTGTATTGTATAGTAGGCAAGTGTTATTGGTGTTTTATGACAGTGACGTTTCAATTTTGTACGAAAGAAGACAGCACACGATAGCTTGGCAAATTGCCAAAAATGAAGCACACATTTTCAGGTTTGAAGATAAAATAACCGACTTCGTGGACCACTGACGCCTGAGCGCTGGGAAGACTTAACAACATGTGAGCATTAAATAACACTGCTGGTATGGATTTAACACTTGGCGCGTCATATGAGCAAGAGTAACCCACCACAGTTACATATCTACGATACGCCATCTCGAAGCCATCAGGGTTCATTGTCGGTAGCAGGTGAATCCGGGTATTATTGACCAGCTTCTGGATTCGTTTGTTCTTCTTTGTGTACTCATCGCAGAGGTACTGGGCAAGGAAGATAAGGAGCTGGCGTCCCGAAGCCTCGTTCCCGTGCATGTTGGCTACGTACTTGAATTCCGGTTCACCTGGGGATAAGAGTGGCACGCAGTTGCACTCATTGATTAAGAATAATTTGACACAAAATTCAGTAAAATTAGGATTACTCTCAGATTTTCTGTGACGTGAGTGTGAATAACCTTCTTCCCCATAGCCTACTCAGGCCTGTATTCAACATTCTCAACGTGTTACAAGAGCAACATTACAGGTTGCCGTTGTGTACATGCGCAGAGAAACTCACCTGCGGTAATGTTCCTGCTTAAGGACATGATTTCACATTCTAGTTTGAAAATAACGGTAGTTGAAATTGGTCTACTGAGGTCTTTTGTGAGGACGAACCCATGGAAGGGTTTACTGCGTGCCACCTAACATTTTGTCTGTTTGTTTATTGTTCTGTTTTGATGTTGTTTGGGAGGTCTGCAGAAATCATTTTGCAAACTGTGCATGAAACCAAGACTCATGTTTCCATGTTTTCTCAATGTTCATCTTTTTCTTCAAGTAGCCTTATTTCCAGCCGTCTAGATTCCCATCTTGTCTCATGCATCGTGCATTATCAATTTTTGTCAAATCATATGATACTTGATGACGTAATCACTATTATCAGCTTGACAAGAACAGTGCTTCCTTCAGTCTGAGCTGGTTTGCGCTTAAGAACACCTGTTGTTAAGATAGTCTTCTGGTGACTTGGGAATAGCCTGCTAATCCATACCATAGTTTCATGTTTTCCTGTCCTAGTTTCACCGATTTTCCCATCAGCACTGTCTAAGAAAAGGTTGACATTTTTGCACAGCTCAGAAGGGGAATATTCAGATAGAAGATCAAAATTGACCTGTTGGACTTTAATATAGGTCATGGATTCCGGTCTAAAGGGTAACTTATCGGGACTCCGTCGCACGAAGGATTCATGATCACGTTGCTAAGGGGCGCATAGAATCGGAAGATATATACGGCAAGAACAAAATCGCTGAATTGTAACAACTATTGCTGTTCTAAATAAGGTGGAAACGGTAGGAGCCCCGAGCTGGGCCAATAGAGGACGCGATTTTCTCAGCAACGGAGGCTCCGTTGGTCGGAACTGAACTTCGCTGGTGAGCGAACGACTAGGAAACGTACGCGTTAAGGTGGCATCGCTAACAACAAAACGAACACTCCCGACCAACATGGCTCTTTTCAACCGATGAGGGGATACTTCTGCTCAAGGCGGATTGAGCAGGCTGCGAAGTTGTCCACTCTCGAATCTAAATCAGTTTGCAAGTGTCAGCATTTTCATAGCTTCCTGCATTGGGATTTAAATATTTTCACTTTTCTGTAGATTTCTCCAAACTTTGAGCACCCTGTGAGACTTCAGAATGCTCACCGTTGAATCTCTTCTTACCTCTCTCAAAGACTACTGGTCCGAAGTTTATGTTTGTGGCAAAAATGCTTTATCCCTTTAATTCTTCCCAGCGGTGTTGGCAATCACTCAGTAAGATTCCAACACGAGTGATCACCTATGAATCACCTCAGCAGTGTCTGAGGACCGAAATCCACCAGGAATAAAGAGGAAATCATGGAAATGGGAGAAAATGGGACGAGAGAAATCTACAGACAGGGCTTCACGGATCGCATCAGTGTGGGACTGCAGATGTAACCAATCAGCACATGTTGCAGACAATGAAAGATTAGTCTTGAATATTGAAAGAAGTTGTTTCACCGCACGTTTGAATAGTAATTGGTCCAAAAAGATTTAACGTTTTGTGGAGTTTTTGCCTGAAAAAAATCACTTCCAGAAAATTCCTCAAAAGTATCAGTCCCCTAAATATGGTGTCTCCTTTGTGCAATTTGAGGGTTATAATAAATATCCCCCGTAAACACCAGACTTTGTTATTTCAGCTAATATTTGTTGGCATATTCGGCCTCGGAAGCTTGACCTGAGGTGACCGGCGAATTCTCCACCAGAGAAAAAACCTTGAGGCAAGTTAGGACAAACATCCAACTCACATCACCAATCCACTTGATATATCCGATTTAATTCATTTCAAGCCTCAGAACAAATTTGTTTAAATCATACAATTTATTCGACCAGTAGAAATTTCCAGTAGATGCCGACTGTTGGAAGTTTTCCAAGACGTGTATCAACGACTTGCGAGGGGGGAAGGTCCGATTTGGGAAACCGATGGCTCGTATACAAAATTGTTGATAGTCTCAAGTTCTAAGTTCTGCATCACAATCATACAGTTAAAACCACCTACGAGCGGTGAATGTAAAGTGTAAAATTTTCACCAGTTTGTGGACGTGCAAACTGGCAAGGTTAAACAAAATTAAAGGCTATGCTTTTAGTATCTATTACATCTTTATAAACCTTTCCACATTCTGCGGTTTTGTGTACTTTCTCCGAAAAACATGCTGAAGCATTCATTCTTTCCCCTTATCACCTTGACCTTGACATGAAATCCATTTGATTTAGAATCCGGGAAAGGCAACGTGACGAGGAGGTACTTCTTTGGTATGCTTGTCTGCATTAACCTGAAAGTTGATCCGTTTTGACAAGTATGAGGTAAGGATACCCTCAGGTGCCGTCATGCGTGTTCGAGGGGTTAACCAACTCATCACAAACAATCAGAGTAGGTTGCGGTTGACCGTGAGGACAAACATAAGACCGCGTTTTCCAATTCCACACGTATTTTTTTAAAGTGAAAATCCAAGGCCCATTGTACAATTGGACTATGTTCTGGCTAATTTTACCTCAGAAAAATTTCTTGCACACATGGCGCTGATCTGAAGTTGTGTATTTTTTCTTTGAGCAAGTTTTGCTAGTCTTTGGGCAAGCATGTATTATTCTTTGAGAGAGTTGTCAGGAATTTAACTCTGTTTAACAAAAGTGTCCCCAAATCCTCTTCGGGTGCACGCAAACTTTAGCGTTGCGTTGGAACGAGGAGAAACGTTTCCTCTTGCAATATTTAACTATCTCAGGAAGTCCCCATTAATTTTTAAAACGCTGCAGAGAACGAATATAATAACCATCGAAACGGCGAAAACCCTCCAAGAATCATCATGACAACCAAAGCAGGTTATGTTATCTTTATATGTTCGCATGCTATCTTTACTCCAAAATAGAGTGTCCTTTTATTTTTGCCGGACGACATGTACCTCCGATAATGAAAACCTATGTTCAATTACGTCATCTTCAGACAGATTGTGAAACCTGGTTCAATTTTAACTTGGTATTGACATGCTCTGTGTCGTTACTTCCAACATGGCGAATTCTGCATACTTTGAAGTGTCTGTCATCAAAGTGTCATCTTCAACCTCGCTCCGCCAGTCTTGATTGAATGAGGCATGAGCAAAGATAATTGCACCGCTGGCATGGATGCCAAGCAGCCAGAATCCTCAAGGAATTAAGGAGGGGATGAGCTAGCTTCCTTCTCCCCCGCAACTTCCGCTCATTAACGTTCTGTGAGATGAAAACAACTTGACATGGCACCAAGCTCAACTGGTCACGTTAGGTATCGTCCAAGGTATCGTCCTAGGTACCCGTCCCTGTATTACCTTTGCGACAGGACTCGTCGCGCATGTACATTCCACGCCAGGGTAATCTCAGGCCGCCCTGTCTGAGCACTTTCAGAACTGCAGACCGTTCGTGTCAAGGATCCTTCCACGATTGCAGTGACTGATGTAAATCTCGCACCCTTCACCTGTTTCCTTCGTTTTTATGCGTTTGAGGAGGAAAACAAGCACGGTAATAAAACAGATAAATTTTGATCTTGAAATATTAAAGTTCCATGTGCAAGTGCTGACGGATAGCCGACACCATAAAATCGACATCTGGAGACATTGTTATTAAACTAATGCATATCAAATAAAAGACTGCTGTTTATCCTTGTAAGCTGAAATATTCGGAACGTACTTTAAATTTGAAAACGTGGAACACCTTGTGATGAATCCCCGCAGAATACTTCAAACCCTTTGAGAACAATCTACAATATAAAGAATCTTTTCATTTCACTTTCACAAAAAATTCTTGTCAAATGACGCGACGTGCTAATTGTCATCTGGATTTTTTTTTATTTGAAGAACAATAATACTGCTATGCTACATATTCAAACTTGCTGATAGGGACGTTCAGAGAAATATGACTTGGTCAGGAACATTAATTTCCCGCAAATGCATTTACTGCCCCCATGGGGCACCCATCAAGGGCCGATCAAGCACCCCTGACGCACCCCTCCCACGCCAACATTAGCCTCCAGACGTGCCTCGACAGAGTGACGAATTGATCACGACGGTAACACGCAGGTGATTATGTGCAAACATTAACTACATGTCAAGACTGTTACTGTAAGAATATTCCGAATTCTTCACACCAAACAAGTATAAGGTGTGGCGTATAAATGACTCAGTTTTTAAACTAAATCTTGTCTAAATCTAAACTGAATATTATTCACTGTTTGTCTCTGAAAAAAATCTGCTTTCGAATGACTTTTCGTTTGTCTTGAGGAAGGTGAGGAATCAAAATTGCAACCCACAAGAAAGTCTAGGAATCTGTGGCGCAATGCTGAAAGATCATCACTGTTTTTCACAAAAAAAGTTGAGTTGAAGAGCTTATTGAGCAAGAATTTAACAAGTAAAATCATTCTGTACATTTAGACACAGTGTATACATCGTGTATTGTACATGTACAGTACATGTACATGTATATAAGGCTTGTCGTGGGCAGTCCCTTCAAATTTATTCTTGAAACATTGTTCCAGCGTCAGGCTAATGAATGGAAAAATAATTCCAACATTTGCGCCAATTTGTCTGGTGGTGGTGAATTAACCCCGTAACTTCCTGCATTTCCAAGCCAGGAAATTCAATAAATCGTCGTCTTCTTGGCCATGTTTCGTGCCTCCTGAACTCTTATAATGTGTCAGCACCAGGTGACTGGGTACATTGAAAGGACATAACACGGCAGGGTTCGTCTCCAGCTCCGCCATCCGTCAACAATTCAATGCCTTTGTGCGACGCACTCCTGTATGAGGGCGCTAAATCCTGCGTGAATTTTGCCACGGATGGCTCGTTCTGACTGTCTTTAGCCCAACCGATAAACAATTTTGCCGGCTTGTTCATTCATCATATTCCATTTACCATAAGTTAATAACCTGTAGGCATTACACGGCGCCTAGCTTCCTTGGCGCCTGTAGCCCAACGCGGAAAAGAGATCAGACGTTCATGACTTCACTTCTTGAGGGCTAAGATAATTTACTGAAAGTGAAGTAACCAGCTTTACTTGTACCCCGGGAATCTGATTCATACACTACAGTGTTATGATTTCATGTGCTACTGCTAGGTTCCTTTGCCTCGGGAATACCGTACATTTTCCCACCAGCGAGGGAAATTAGAAGGATGTTAGAAGCACTTTCAAAGAAAAATAAATAACAATTTGAAAACACTTGTCCTTTGAACAGCACTGAGAGGCTTGAACCGATAATTAATCAGATTTCTTGCCTGTACTTTGAACGTGTCACTGCACTTTCGCAGAGGAAACCGGGCAATACCATTCAATCCGATCTTTCCTATCGGTGCGACATCGGTCTTAAGGCAACAACGGTGTTTTACCTTCCAAGAATCGCTGCACACAATTGGTGTGTCTGCGCATGATAGTTATTTTTACCAGGCACAAATCTCCCTAGTAATCCACAGCGCGTGATGTGAAAGCAACTGATGTCAGTAGCGCAACCGGGGTAAATTCCTAGCAGGGCACCTGAGGGTGCTTACATGTTTTTCAAGAGGGGGCACCGAAACCCATTGCTCCACGGCGTGTGCATCGTGCACGCTACAAGATGGAGGGAGGGTACCTGGGTGCGATCGCTACCCGGGTACGGGCCTCCGCTGAGGGAGCACATGCCCCCCCCCACCACCACACTACACCCCTGCAATTGTGCCACTGAAGCACAGTCTTTTCAGTGACGTTATTGCTTCAATGGATCTTCATTACTCTATTCCGTCTTGTCTCCAAGGGTAGGTTTCCTATAAACGCATTGATTCCCTGTTGTTACATTTCAAAGTTGACTCATCACCGGTACGTTGACAGCGTAAAATCATGAGCGTACAATGATGTGCCATGAAGCGAAACACGGTCCGTGAAGACCCAAATCTCGACAAAGTGATGTTAGGCTCGGTGATATAAGTAACAACCACATGGGCAATATGTATTGATTACCCCCCCTCCAAACGGTGCACTGAAAAATTTCCTAGGTTCAATCTTAACCCAAGGAAGGGCAAATATGGCTGTGTTAACCCAAATTTGGGGTGAGAATTACTTTCTGTTTCATTTTTTACTCTCAATGAGTGGATATTAACCCTTGTTTGATTGAAACAAATCAGAAATTAATTTCAATCACCAAATTTGGGTTGAAACAATCCAACTATTGGGTAGTTGCAGTCTGTTTTCGCCTTTCCTTGGGAAAAAAATTAACCCAGGCAATTTTTTTCAGTGTGGTTAAATTCTACTGGTACCTTAAATTGAAAGCCATGTCGAGTTACATCACTGGCCTTTATTATTTCTAGTTCTAGATGCACAAACTGTTAACAAATCCGACTGCACCGGGGTCGTGTTCTTGCCAGATGTGCTGGCTCGACATACGAGCTCCAAACACAGCAGCCTTTTTGCTGAAGTTTACTCCTGACTGGGGTCTATATCTCGAGGAGTTTAAAAACCGCGCCGTGACGGTGAACTGACCTGTGACGTACAGCCACAACTTGTTCGAATGGAGGAGAGGGAGGCATTTCCCCCAACTCTCTGGGGAAAAAGTTGCAAAGTGTTCGGGGCAATTGAATCGTGGTTGACCCTTTCTCGTGAAACTAAAGATCCACTGCTCATTTCCGATTCTTTGCGTCCACGTGTCACATCGCGTTCGCCAAACGCTGCCGTTGTAGATCGCAATTTTACTGAGCCACTAAACAATAATATTGCTCAGTAATTTTAATAGTTTGCTCTTACCCGACGTATATTCCTTTAAACCGTATACTCAGTGCTTCGCAAGCCTACTCTGGTGGGACTCGAACCCACGACATGCTGCTTACTAGTGCAGAAGTCTTAACCACGACGACCACCGAGCGTACTGGGGTCGGCTTACAAATAACATCCCCTAGACGCAAAGTACATATTGCTCAGTTTTGTTCTGCATGTCGAAAAGAAGGTGGGAACGAGCCACCTGCGATTTATATTGCATATACTGTACATGAGCTATCATTTTTAGCCCGATAAACTGCATGCATTTCTGATAAAATGGAAACCAACAAGGCGTGATACACGCGAACGTTGCAAAGACGTCAGAGGCAGGCCTCCAGAGTCTAGTCCAAACCTCCTGTTTGTCGTCTGCGTTTGTTGTAATCACACATTTTCCTACCCTGCACAAGAGCCTGCAAAAGTCATTCTCCTAACTATTTTCTGAGGTTTGTCAATGAGGTCCGACCTTGGTCGTTTCTCTCTGCCAGGTCATGCGAATGACCAGACAGTATTCATATCTTGGGCGGAATGTTGGCGTCTGCAGATATTGTTTTGTTAAGGTGAGAAAAGTTAGGGCACTGGTTATAAGGCAATACGTAGGATGTTTTGATTGGCCTAAACTTCAGTTCTCGGAAGTATTTGGTTGGTATACGAACATTGAAAGGCGGAGGTTGGATAATCCAATAACCATGCGTTCAATAATTTCCATCGGCGACGGAAAGTCTTTTCCCTAAATAATAGGAATTTATATCCAGCTTCCGTCCTGGACAATTCATTTTATGAGCTTTTGTCGTGCATTCACGGATGTAATTCATTATATTGAGAGTTTTCAAGTCTGCTGCCCAAAATTAAAATGTGGCGTATTATGTTGCTCGCACGACTGTTTCTCCTCGGCGATCCTGAATTCGTTTTGAGCGGTTTGCCCATGATCTGCCAATTATTGCCATTCTAGTGATGAGAACCGCATCTATTTTTTACAAAGTAGTCTGTCTAAATTTCTGGTAGGGATGCAACTGGGCCTAGCAAGGGCCATCATCCTGAATTCTGTCTGGTTTAAGAGAAAAGCCTTTGTTTGGTAAAAATTGTTTTCCGTGTTAAAGAAATGTTTGATTTCTCCAATCAAAACTTTAAGATTGTTCTCAAGTTGACGCAAAAAGCGAAAATAATTTTGTTAACAATTACAGGAAAACAATGGAAATTGGTCTGCAACATCACCTATTACCAGCTGCATGCAAGTGAAGAAGATTTCATGCATTTGGGAGATATACCTACCTACTTCGTGTACCCCTGGATTGTCCGATATTTCCAGCACATACAGCCTTCGTCCCTGCACGCTTCTCCCTATGTCGTACAATCTGGTAATACTCCGACATTTCCAAGCAGTTTCATGTAACAACACAACCATTTCGTTGTAATTGTGATAAACGAAATCTATCCCGTTGTCTCGCTCGTGCTGTCCCACTACGGACCGAAGAAAGTTCGAGCATAGAGTCTGAAGCATTAAAGAGACAATCAGAGGTAGAAAACCCGGGACCAACTGCATTTTGTTGAGACCTGTTGTACTGAGATTGAATACTCCAAGATGAGCGCAGCAGGTGTACAATGCTTGCAGGTGTCTGAAGTTAAGTTAATAAGACACTCCAGCTATATACCTTGATGCAACGTGGGTGAACGGGTAACTCGCTGATCCCAGCAAAAACAAAACCTTTCCCAGGGCGATTCAGTCTTTGTACAGCCGAGTGTGGGTCTCTGAGTTCACAATCCCCTCCGAAATCGGCTGATGTAGATGTTGACGTCTGTCAGTGCGCGTCCGGTCCGAAGGCCAAATGACTGTTTCCTCTTTGGTGGAGCGCTAATTTGCCGATGACACAATCTTACATCACGGGGGAAGTCCGCCCACTACGATCGGTCGCTTCCAGAAACTACCCCCGAGCAGACACACGGCTGGGGGTCGGGTTCCGGGAGAACCTTGGCGACCGAGTGGGACCATAGAGGCTTGTAACTCTATGGTGGGACGAACCTAACGCGCAAAATGAACGAATGGAACTTCTGCTAAGGACTCGACTTTGGTGATGAAATAAATTCTAGATAAGATCAGAACTGAGAGCAAACTACGGAAGCCGCTTCGCTTAGGGCTGATGGTTTTGCGGTGTTATTTCTGCCGTGGATGATACCAAACGAACTTAAACGAGTGTGGGGTCGTTGCTAGTGCCTTGCGGCATAACATGCGAAGGGCAAATCAAGAATGTACATGTACATGTACGTTACGTGAATGACATGTAGTCTCCACCTCAAGGACTCGGCGTCGCCTTTTCACTGATCCCACGAGGCGGAGGCTATACACCTTTACCCCAGACGCGTTGTAACAGTTACCTCTGACGCTGACAGAGGTGACCGAGGTCGGCCCCTGTGCCCCCTAGACGTCAACGGGCAGATTTCCCATGGGATCTGGCAAACCAGGCTGCCTGCCTGCCAACTCAGATGGGGGGTCGGAGTATGGCCTGGACAAAGCCTGTCCGTTGACTGGGTGGGGGCTGCTGCGGACGGAAGGGCTTGGTGATCATATTGGCGGCAATGCCACGGAAATGCTGAAAGGCTGATTTCCAGGATGATTAGTTGTTTTAGGCCTGTAATTGGAGTGCAGCACCTTATGTGCAAAGTCGGGTCACACTCGCCTTCCTGCTGGGTCAAGATGTCACAGAACCCTGGACCATCGTTGAGCAACAAGGCATTACATGCATGCTCCATACACAAACTTGCTTACCGCTTTCAATTTTTCACTTATTTAGTCAAAAACAAATGCAGAACAACAATCAGAATCCTGTGTGTTCATTTTTTAAGTCTGTTGATGTCGCCACTATCGTCGTGGCTTTCTTGACCAGATGAATGAAAATTATAGATATCAGTGATCGACCAGTTTATTGTGAGGGTAACAGAATGATACATCATTGACTGATTGATCGATGACCATTCGACTGATTGGTTCTCTTTTTCCTTGAAGTTTACCATCAATTTTATTTTTTGACAGGGTTGTCATTCCGCCGTCCATCAGAACACTGGGCCCCACGGAAGTTAGTAAACGCCCCGCTGGTTGAGTGACTGGTATTTTTCTAACAGGCCACACGAGTATGTGACTGCCTTTTGGCAATAACTGAAGATCGGTGTTTGTTTTCTTAGCTCAAAAACCAAAGCAAAACGTAACACAACAACCAGGGTACTATAGGGAAACAATAGGAGATTTATGGTTGATATGATTACAAGCATTTCCGACAAAGAGCGTGCTAAATATGCCCAGCTTTGCAACCTTCTTGTCTGGAACTCACTGTTTGCTCGCTCCAAAAAAAAATGACATTGTTTGCTCCGTTGGCCCTATTTACGCCCAGAAAGTTTTGCGATCATGTTTTCAAAATGAATTTTAAATTAAGAAATACAAATATGTCATTACTGGAGAAATTTGACTGAGAGTCCCCCCGGTCTGTATGTTAAAATGCTTGGGTGTGACCAGAGGACTGCATGGCCACAGCGTGAGTTCCTACCAAGTACCATACCCCTCCAATTGCGACACTTTACTGACCTTACGAGCGAGGAATGCACCATGCCCCAATTAACGGATATACCCGTTAATAGGTGCATGCCTCGCACGTGCGACAGCCGTACGGGTTTCTAATCTGTGGATAAAGATATCGGGAATGTGTCCCGAGGGATATCAGGGGATGGGGTGAGTTTATGTGGGACTTTTCGTGGCACTGCACAGTGCAACCAAAGGCCCTTGAAACCAGAGTATACAGTAAGAAAAACAAAGGTTTGCGATATAAATTTGTTTTAATCTCAACATCAGGAGTCATGGAAAATTCAATTTTAGGCTTCATTTTTTAGGCTAAAGGAGTATAATTTCATAATCTTCGAATACTGGAAAAATATTGTACGTCAGTCAAGACCAGTCAGTTTGTTGTAGGAAACCGTCGATCACCTCAAGTGAGGTTTAAAATTTAGGAAATTATTCCCGTATGTCAGCCGTGGACCGAGGAACTTCGGACTCCGCGCTTCTTTTTCATACAGTGCAAGATCGCAGTGGGTGTCGAAGTCGCCAGAAAGTTGAAGCCCGCCCTCTGTTGTCGACACTTGTAAATTAAAGATGGCTGCTTCCTGAGTTGATAACTTCGACATGTTCAACTCCTGAAAATTTGTTATCAAAGGAAAACAGAAAAACTGAACTTGATCTATTTGGCACATTTTGAAATATGGAGAAGTTTTCGTCGCGAATAACAACTATTCTACCCAAGAGTATCAAAGAATTAGCTCTGAAAGATGTGGCAAAGGTACAGTCTTGGTTAGGACCTAGGCTAGCCCCCTAGTGCGTAGTGGCACGGACTCTCACTCCCGCTCCATGGGAGTGAGAGTCCGTGCCACACTAGTGGGGCTAGACCTAGGCCTATCTTTGTGGCGTCGGCGCGTAATGTCATAGTAGGCCTAGGCCTCATAATAATTGTGAGACAAGCTCACTTTAGAGGCAATCCTTATTTAGATGTGTCATAGCCTTCAGCACCCTGCTCCTTGAATAAGGAAACAAAGTCCACTTTCTCAAACCATGGAGGTAAAATCACATGCTCAAACTAAACTAACATTTGACCTTGAGGAACCATTACTCAATCCACAGGCCTAGTGCCTAGGCCCAGTTTAGATAAATTTTAACAAGCAAGAAAACCACAAATTTCTAACTCAAGTTTGGCAAAAGATAACAGATGCGTTGAATGGAGGCATTTTGTTTCTCCTCTGGTTACCTGACTCGGGCATTTTGGATTCATCAAAATGAATCTCCATCCAGATCAAGGAACCAGACTTCATTCAATAATTTGTCATCATTCACAGCTCTTCGGGGAGGTCATGTACACTGCTGTTTTACCCCAAAATTCCTCTCAAATACCAAAAGCCCTGTTCTTTATTTTTTTCTGATATGAAAGAGGACATCACCAACAACTTGTTTAGATAAGTTGTTTCGAAAAAGTAGAATTTGTTCCTTTATCATAGGAACAGGGGTGCTAAAGGTAATGAACACCTTAGATGACCTTGCTACTATATTGTGTGTGTCTTCAATTGTCACAGTTGGTAAATACGATTCATATGAACCAGATAAAAGAGGTATTTTCTGGACAACTCAGGTACATGTAGGTCTATGCACAACCATTCAATTTGTCAAGCCTTCCAAACTGTTAAAAAGATTGAGGGAAAGAGTTGCATTGACGAACAACACTTGATGCCCCTGTGCAAAATTCTATGAGACTTGTCTGAAAAAAAAAAGAAATGCTTTCTAAGTAAATAATAGGGAATTTTCTAAGCTAAATTTCACTTTTTAGGACGTGTTATCACTTTTTGAGCATGATGGCTGTTATAATTTTAAGGGAAAATTAGTGTTGTCAGCATTTGGATCTCTTTCTAAATTGAGTATACAATAAACCTTGTATAGGTCAAATTTGTTTAAGTTGGATTTTACATACCTTAGATAAAGTTGCTTGGAACATTGATTTCAGAAAGAGATTCATTAACGGACAGCACTAGTTTTTGCTTGAAATATTATAACAGCCACCAGAAAGTGATAACATATCCTAAAAAGTGAAATTTAGCTAAGAAAATTCTGAAGCATTTAATTAAAAAACACTTTTTTTTCAGACAAGTCTCATAGGTTTTTGCACAGGGACATCAATGTTGTTCATATATTGAACTCTTTCCCTGATGTCTTATGTTCTTAATAAAATTCCTCACTCCCATGTAAGCCTGATTGCAAAAGTTGGATTTTTCCATTTCTTGGACAAATCAACCCGCAACGTTTCTTAATTTTTTATCTCCTTTATCTCCGGTGAAACATGCCTC